GGGGGAGGGGGGGTCATTTCTCACATTCAGCTCACTGTTAAAACACATTGAAAACTTGAGCAGTGGTGGACAGACACACTGTGTGTGTGTGTGTGTGTGTGTGTGGGAGGCACAGCCAGGCTAAGCTCTTTAGCTCATTGTCTAAATCACCTTGGCCCACTTTGGCCTCGTGTGAGTGCTGTTTTCAGGAGGACGTGACCAAGCAGTGGCTGGTGAAGAAGCAGCGGAGCCAGAGGATCGGTGAGTCCACAGAAAGGCCGCCTCCGGCCGCAGGAGCAGAGTGGTTATCTCTGGACTGTCTCTTTGTAATCAGCTTGTAAACAGTGCTGATGTTGTTGTTTCAGACACGGTCCGGTACATCCCCCACAGCGGTGAGTGCACACCCACAGCCCCTCCGTCAGGCGTCTGTCTGCTTTAAGGATTTCTGCTGTAGTAGATAGCATCAGTCTGACCGGAAAGAGCAACACTGAACACGATGTGGTGGAGCAAGGAGCAAAAAGCAAAAAGCCGGCAGAGCTCTGACCCCAGAACAGAGCAAAGCAAATAAACAAGCATGAAATAAGACCAGAAACCAAGCTGGTCAAAGCAGAGAACACAGAGGAAAATACAGGCAGTGGCCGGAAAGTATTAAACCGTGAACCGGTGAGAGAACAAGGACATAACTGAGGTGAACAAGAGCACGCTGAAGAGACTCTCAGACCTCAGAAATACACATAAAACTGGATCCGATGGGGGGACGTTTGTCATTCTACTCAGTGGCAAACGCCTGCTTTCCTGTCAGTTGAGCCAGTTTTAAACGGGTTGGACTGAGTACTTGGATGGCATGAATGAATCAGCGGTGGCTGTGCATCGCTTTTAGTACGTTGGGACAGAAGACAGAGTCGTTTAGACATATAAATCCACACTAATGTTAGTTTTTGCTTGCGTCTTTTACATTTTTGTGGGTTGAACTCTGCCTAGCAGGTGCTACGTTAGCGGTTCAGTGGCTCTCCGCTGGGCCTGCTGTGAGGCATGTAGACATCTGCTAACGGCTGCGTGGGCTCAGGCTGTTTTTGGCTTCAGAGGGCCGTTTTAGGCCTCAGGTGGCCGGTATGCTGACCAGACCTCTAACGTGGCTCTGCTCTCCTTCACAGTGTGGAACTGGATCTGCGATGCAGCAGGTATGAAAAGCCCTGACGTTTGTTTGTTTGAAAGTTGAGTCGAGCCCCCTGACCGTCTGCGTGTGCCCCACAGAGGAGGTGATCCTGGACCCGGCCAGCGCCAACCCTGACCTGCTGCTGTCCGCTGACGGCCGGCGGCTGCGCTGCGGCCTGGAGCGCCGGCCCGCCCCCCCCAGCCCGCTGCGCTTCGACGGCTGGTGGTGCGCCGTGGGCCAGGGGGGGTTCTCCTCCGGCCGCCACTACTGGGAGGTGGAGGTGGGCGAGCGGGACTGGAGAGTGGGCGTGGCCAAGGCGTCCGCCGTCCGGCAGGGCTTCCGCTCTCTGAACACAGAGACGGGCTACCTGACCCTCCGGCTGGAGCGGGGCACCGACCTGAAGGCCCTGACCGTGCCCCCCACGCCGCTGCCCCACGGCCTGCTGCCCCGGAAGGTGGGGGTGTACCTGGACTACGAGGAGGGCCAGCTGTCCTTCTACGACGTGGAGAAGCGGGCGCACCTGTACACCTACAACGAGAACTTCACAGAGGAGCTGTTCCCGCTGTTCGGGACCGTGGAGGTGGTCAGCGACCTGCTGATCCGGCCGGCCGGCACCAGGCAGCCCTGCCTCTGCCCCGGGCCCTGCCTGTGGAACTGACCGCTCACTGGGCCGGGGGGTGGTAGTGTTGGTGGACTCAGACCAGACTCTGGCCGTGAGGCGCCCGGGGTGCTCCGGACCTGGAGCGGCCGCCTCCAGGAAGTCAGCGTGAGACGGAGGGCTTCTCAGAGGCTGGCCCCCCCTCAAAATGTCCTGTGAAGGAATTAGAACAAACACATTTGAGAGTAAACATGGTTCCTGTGGCTGCAGGTGTGGGTGTGTGAGCAGCTGCTGGTCGGCGGGCGCTCTGCTGCAGATAATCTCACCCAGCCAGCGCATGTGAGCGCTAATCCTCCAGTCTGCCCCGCTTCAGCTCAGCCGCCTGCATGAGCTTCTTTATGCTGCCGTGCTTTGCCTCTGTGCAACATAAATACAGCAATGTTGTTTTTTTGTCTCCTGAAAACAAATAAAACACTCGATCTTCCCTTCTGTCTTCAGTGATCGCTCACCAGTCATCATGTAGAAACTCATACTCACCATTTTCTGTTTTTAATAATACAAATCTTTATTAAGTGCAATAGAAAGGATGTACAAAAAAGCTCCAAACTAAAAGGTATACATTGATGCAAAGTACATAAACTTTTTGTAGAAGGTGTTTTGGTTGTATTTATTCAGATCAGCGAGATTATTGGTCCATAAAAAGTCTTTAAGAATTTAAAACTTTAAAAGTTGAAGACTCAGCAGAAGCAAATACAACCTTTTCTGTCTTAACACCCATTTCTCAAATATGTTCCGCTCAAATGTCGAGGCCCTTCAAATGCCAAATGAATATGCAGCAAGGGCCCAAATCCCACTTCGATCTGGTGTTGACTTCCCAGGAAAGCAAACCAAACCGGTCCCACCTCGCAGCTTTTTCTCTGCAGACTCATAAATAGGAAATGTGGGTGGAAATGTATGACGCAGTCACAGATGTTTGTTTGTTATTTGCATTTGAATTCAGAATCAGTTTAGAAAATGTGACACATCTTAACATATTATATATTCTCAAAGAATATAACCTTATTCAAATCTATGCTCAAACGTTCCAAATGCACCCCGCTGACCCCTGACCCCTCTGGGGAGGAGAAACTTGTTCAAAGCTGAATCATAGAAAGTTTACAGCGAGTAAAGAAACTGGAACTGTATATTAAACAGATTAAATGCCTCTTATAAGCAGGTGGAGAACAGAGGAAAAGGTCACTTTGGATTACTGAACCCTGCCAGATTACTGACCCACACGGCAGTGTGTGTGTGTGTTTGTTGTCAGAGTGTGAGCGCCCGCAGTGTGTAACAGCCATGAGCGAGTAGCCTTCTCTCTCTCTTTCTCTCTCTTTCCTCTCTAATATCAAACCAAACACTGTGGCGGGTCGGACTCTTTTTAAAAGAGATTCTCTAATAAGGATTCCTCCTGTTGGAAATCTAGTCGCGGTGTGGGTGTGGTTAGAGAGAAAAAACAAAACAAAGCAATCTTAGGTCTCATAGAACATCTTCTTGGTGACGGTGGAGCCCCCCACGACGCTCCTCTGGACCACCTCCCGGGTCACCTGCCGGGTCACCATGCCGCCAGTCTCCGTGTGCTGCCTGGTCACCATCATCCCGTCTGGGGGAGGAAGCAGAGGCCGTTAGTGAACCGGTGTGTTGGACTTACGGTGCTGAGGGGGGGGGGGGCAGGGGGTGCTCTGTACCAGAGAAGTGCGGGTCGTTGAGCAGGGTGCGCGAGACGCTGCTTTGTGTCGTGACTTCTGTTGGCATGTGGAAAACGTCTCTCCTCGTCATTGATTGGCTGTTATATTGAGATAAGGCACCTACGGGGAGCAAAGAGGGACAAAAAGTGTTTGCTTGGGTTTCCTGAGCCGGCCATAGCGGTGCTAAAAGCAGCTGAATCCTGAAGACGGGCGTCACCTCCATCCTGAGACTCGATGGTGATGATGCCCTCCCGCTCTGGGCCGAACCCCTGCGTGGTCCGAGCCTGGACCTTGAACTTGTATGGAATGTTCTCGGTCAAGTTGGGAACGGTCAAACTGGTCTCGGCGCTGTCGCCGTTCACCTGGAAGGAGCGCACGTCCCCTGTAGCAACACAGAAGCCTGAGTCAGCGGCGGCAGAGAGGGGGGGGAGGGGGTCGGGGAGCCTTCGGCGAGCCTCACCGCCCCCGTGCAGCTGCTCGCAGGTGACCACGTAGCCCATCACGTCCCCGGCGGGCTGGCGGGGCTTGTCCCAGCTGAGCTGCAGCGAGTCGGGGCTCAGGGCGGTGAACACCAGCGGGCCGGGGGCGCTGGGGGTGCTCAGGGTGAACGGCGAGCCTGAAGGAGACAGAGGCGGGCGTGAGCGGCGTGCTGCAGACCAGGACGTCCCGATACGATCCCGGCCAATCAGAGCATGTGTTAAAGTCTAAAGTTATTTATCTACTTCCTTAGCTGTCAGACTCATGTTGAACAGGGGTTTACTCTGATAACAACTAGCCATATGAATTAGGGGAGTCTGAATAACACACACTGGCTGGTAAAGAGACACTGAGCTGTGTATTCAGGGAGAAACACTAAATAGACCAAATTGTAGATAACTAACAGAATCAGTGAACAGTAGAAAGTGACAATAATATTGTAAACTGTATTAAAAAGGCAAAACACACAAACAACCTGAATATAAAATAGTCTATTAACTCAGCATCAGTAATGGATTATTTTAATCTGGAAAACACGGATCGGACTTTTTAAAAAAGGATCTGGAGTCTGGAACGGTGTTTTTTCCTGCCAGCCAATACGCATTATTTTGCAAATACCGGCACCCTACTGCACACACACCGGCATGGCGCCCGACGGGAGCAGGGGCAGCACGATCTGGTCTCAATCTTATCGCTTAACACCACTAAACAGAAAGATCTGGCCATACCTAACCCAACATGCTGCCCAGATCCTGGTCAGTCTGGTTTTGTCCTGACTCTCCAGCCTGGACGGTAAAACCTTTACAAATGATCCAGAGTGTGGCGGCGCGGCGGGCTTTCAATCAGTCCAAAAAGTCTCACGTCACCCCTTAGTTCACTGAGCTTCACTGGTTACCCCCGGTTACCCCGGCTTGACCGCCGTTACCCCTGGCTGCCCTCATCGAATTCAAGTCCCTGATGCCTGCAAAGGGCTTAAGGGTCCGGCTCCCGTCTACTAGAACCCTCTAGCAAAGGCTCCTGTCCCAGCTGGTCCCTCCGGTCATCAGCAGGTTCTGGTCCAGCAGAGCTGCTCCACGTTAAGACGTCAGACTGTTTTCATGTGTCGTTCCAAGATGGAAGAACCACCTACCAAGCGCTAAAAGAACAGCAGCGTCCCTTTCTATCTTTATGAAACTCCTCCAGACCCCCCTCTCCACAGAGCAGCTCCTATCCTAACTCCTCCCAGACCTCTGGACCCTCTACTCCTCTTTCTGGGCTTCCCTCCCCCTCTCCTGTCTCCACTGACTCTGACTGGGGTTTTCCTCCAGAGAACTTATTGTCAGATTGATGAGAACTGTAAAGTTGTGTCTACTTTGTAAGTGGCTTTGGATAAAAGCGTCTAAATGCGTAAACATGAACCTGGCATGGGGCTGAGGGGACTCTTGGGGTCCACGGCGGACTCGATGGTGATGACCCCCTCCCTCTCGGGGCCCCAGCCCTCCTGGCTCTGGGCCTTGACCTTGAACAGGTAGGAGTGGTTGGGCAGCAGGTCCTGGATGTGGACCGAGTTCTCGGCCGGGTTGGTCACCGTGATGCGCTTCGTCTCGCCTGCAGGAGAAGAGAGCCCAGAGGTGAGGACGGGCCCACACAGGTAGGCCTCTGGTGGGGGGGGGGGGCTGCTGCCGTACCTCCGCTGAGCAGCTGGTACAGAACACAGTAGCCCAGGATGTCCTTCTCACAGTGGGGCTCCTGCCAGCTGACTTTGAGGGCCGTCGGCCCCAGAGCAGAGAAGACCAGCCGGCTGGGCGTCTCCGGCACGCCCGGAGAGAAGCGCGCATCTGAGGGGGGGGGCAGACAGACACGGGTCAGAAACCCCCCAGAAGAAAACTCCAGCCAGGCGTTCACTCTAAATGGCTCCTGACTATTTAATCCAGGGGCCGCAGTCCTGCAGGTTTTACACATTTTCCTGATTCTGACTAAACTGGAGCTCCTCTGGACACTGCTGAGCTTTGCTAACGGCTCTATGATGGTGTTCAGAGGTGTGCTGAAACAGGGAAACCTCTAAAACCTGCCGGACAGCGGCCCTGGAGGACTGGAGTTTGAGACCCCTGATGTAATCCCCCTGAGCTTAGTTCTAAAGTCGTTTAAGATGGGAACATCTCCTCATGAGCCAAACAGACACAGGATCCGACTGGTAGCAGCAGGACTGAAGATGCTCAGCGTTGAGGGGGGGTGCGTCCGCCGCCACTCACCCTGCAGCACGCTGTCCAGGCTGTACAGGGCCTCGTGGACGTCTGTGGACTGGGTCCGGGCCCTGGAGCCCGCAGACAGGCTGTAGCCCTGCTGAGAGCTGCTCTGCATCCCAGCGTAGCCGAACCCGCCTGGCAGCGCGCAGCAGGAACAGCAGCGGGGGGGGGGGGGAGCAAAGAGTGCAGGAAGAGTTGGAAAAGAAGAGATGGAATAAGGGGGGAGAGAAATAGCGATAGTCAGCGTAGCTCCTGCTGAGCAGCCCATGCCCCAGCGCTAACGGTCCAAGCCAGCACTGTCATGCGCTAGCACAGTAAAAAAAACACAAACACTCCAAAGTCACGTCCACTTTCAGATTAGTGAGACGCTCCCTGTGGAAGAACTCAATACCTGTTCCAGAAACCTACTTAGATCTGGGAACTTGCTGGACACATCCGCCATGACGATGGAGTCCCGGATGCTCTCATCGGTGTAGCTTCTGGAGTGCTTCCTCATGATAACGTCAGTGGTGTGGACTCCACCTCCCATCATGCCCTGCCTGCCTCCTGAAGGGAGAGTGAACGGAGAGTGAGCGGACATCCGGCTGGTCCCCGGCTGGTCCCTGGCTGGACCTTGGCTGGCCCCCGGCTGGCCGCGCGCCTTACCCTGCCCCACCATGTAGGTGGTGTTGGTCTCGGAGCGGCCTCCCCCCATGTAGGTGGTGTTGATCTCGGAGCGGCCTCCCCCCATGTAGGTGTTGTTGGTCTCGGAGCGGCCTCCCCCCATGTAGGTGGAGCTCAGGGTGGACATGGGAGAGGACGAGGCCGACATGTTGCGTGTCAGCGACCCCCCCGGGAAGAGGAAGTTCTGGTCCCACTTCCCATTCATCATGTAATCTGTGAAACATAAGTCAGGACAGTGAATTATTCGTCCTTACGGGGCATGGATGCCCGCAGCTGAAGCGGTCTGAGCCGGTTAGCAGTCGGGTTCAGGGGAGGAGCCTAGAGGTCGGGAAACAGCGTTTTCCAAGTATGCACATTTTCTACTGAATTTATAGAGTATCAAAAGAGTTCTTGAGGAACAACCTTTGCTAGCTGTGAGGAAAAAAAAGTGATTTACAAAGGGGGAAAAATCTAGTTTAATAAATTCGGTGCAATGCTTCTTTTTAGCCACAAGAGGGAGAGGTGAGCCCCTTCCCCATGTCAATCACATCGTTACCGATTTGTTCAAATAAAAAGCTAAATCGAATTGTTTCATAGGTCATAAAATGGACACTCATCCAGCAGTGGAGGCTTCACCAACCAACAACTCAGCAGCAGCCTCGTTTAAGCCAAATCTTTCACAAAGACTCTTCTTTGATAGGTTTAGTATCAAAGTGCACTTACTTCCCGACAAGCGCTAAGAGTGAGTTGCACTTTATTTTGCCTGTGGAACTCAAAAGTTGCTACGGCATTAGAAGGAAAGTGCCGGGTCCGATCTCCAAAGCTCCCCCCGACCGTGAACCTGCCTCCTACTGGATGTAAGTCGGTGACTGACTGAGAAACCAGTTTCAGGAAGCGCTTCTCATCAAAAGATGCACAAAAGTGTCAACGCCCAAACGGCCCAGCAGAAATGAGACCGGATTTGGTGTTTCAATCCTTGCTGTGCAGACAGAGGCAGGCACCCGATCATCAACTGGAAGTGGGCAGTTGATGCCAGTGCTCCTCCGGTGCAGGCGGCTGGAGGACAGACAAAAAGTGCCAACAAGCCCACAAGGGGAAGAGTTGAAGTGACAGGGCAACGATGTTTTCCAGCGGGGAACAGGGCTGGCGGAGCAGAACGGCTGGCATGCGAGCTGCCTCTGTCCCTATGGGCCGACAGGTCGGACTGGGGGGGTCTTCACCTGGCAGGGGCGTTTTGGGGTGGCCGGGGTGCGGAGCCTCGTCTGAGCTCGCCTCTGTGTCTGTGCTGAGCCGACTGGGGATGACCTCCACTTGTTTTCTCCATGACACCGAGCGGAGATCCAGGTTTGACCCCACCAACTTGACATGCTTCCAGCCTTGAGTGTGTGGTCACAGAGAGAAGCAAGCAGGTGGTGGATGGAGCAGAGTTTGTTTGGTCTACACATTACAAAAGCAAAAGCTGTGACCGCTTCTCCCACTTGGTTTGAGCTCCAGATCTTTGAAAGGCAAATGGTTCGGCTCGCTATTCCAGAAAAAAAGGGCTGCAAAAAGCATGTGATCACAACAGATTTAAAGCAGAGAGATCACTGTTAGTGATGCAGAGCCTGGCTGAGGCTGTTGCCTTAAAGCAAAGATGCTTGCAGAAGGAGGTGGCAAAAATAATTTAAGAAATAAGACCATCCGCAGTTCTTTCTGCCCTCCTTTAACTGTGAAGAGGGGTATGAATGTCAACCTCTTTAGACATACTGAGACTAATACACTGCAGACAAACATCTCACCATCCCTCACAGCCTGGTCTCTCTGTGCTACGTGTAAACTCAGTAAGAGCACAGCAGGACTACAGCTGCACCTCTCCCCGTCCTATGCCTGGGCGGCTCATGGCCTGGCTCTGGGTACCCACCATCACCAGAGACGCTGGGCGTCTTGGAGCTCGTCGGTGACTTCATCACATCATTGCTGTACATCAGGTAGCTGTCGTACTCGTCCCCGGCCTCAGCGTCCACAATTGGCACATCTGGAATGATGGGAACTGGGCACAGAAAGAGAGAAATTAATCTCTCCCGAGGGGGCTGGGTGGCCGTGGAGCCCTGCGGGGAGGTTTGAGCAGCCTTACTGGACAGAGGTCGGGCGGGCTGCGATGCCAGGTTGATGCTGGCGTCTCTGAAGGGACCCCAGCCCACGCTGTTCTTGGCACGGACTTGGTACTGATAGGTCTGCGCGCTCTTGAGGTTCTCGATGAGCAGCATTCGTTTTTTAGGACTGTCGATCATCACTTTCTTAGGGGCTCCAACCGGATCTTTGAGAGGAGTCCAGTATTAGGATGGAATTGATTGCAGGCAGCTGCATGTGGAGTGTGGGAGTGATTGGAGGTGGACTGCTTACTCAGCTCGTCGTCTATGGGCGTGTAGATGACCTCGTACGCTGTGATGTTGCCGTTGGTCTCTGCGGGCTCTGCCCAGCTGAGCTGAGTGACAGTTGGACTGATAACATTAAAGGCCAGTCGACCAGGTTCCCCAGGCACTGCAGAGAAATTAAGCCGGACCAGCAGAGGAGATCTGATTAAAATCTATTTCAGCTTATCTGAAATGTGTCCACATAAGCAGATTCATTTAAAATGTCTGTTTTCATTTACTGGATGCATTTAGGTAAAAAAAGAGTTGTAAAAAGCCCCAGAATCCCTTCAGTTATGTCATAGCTCATGGTTTCCTCATGATTTTCTGCAGACGGCTATATGTGCAAGCCTTCGGAAGAAAAATCTGAGTCACTCAGTCTCACTCAGTCACTTAATGAAATAATTACCATCTTCCAGTGTCTGACAGGAGGTGATGTCGGTATCATAGCCGTCTCCCAGCGCGTTGTAGGCACACACTCGCATCTCGTAGTCACAGTACGGATACAGGTCGGTCAGCTCGGCCTGAGGAGTCTTCACGTCTAAGACCTGGGCGTCTTTCTCCGGGTCGCCATAGATCCAATACTTTACCTACGAATACACCAGAAAGCAGTTCCCTCACTTTGAGAAAGGAAGCTAAATCTAAGTGATGCATAAGCTCAGGGCGTGGACGCACCTTGTACCCGAGCGGGTTCCCCGGCGCCGGGTCCCAGTTCAGACGGATGTTTCTGGGCCCAGTTGCTTTGGCCTTCAGGTTTTCTGGGGTGAGAGGGTAACCTCCAGGGGAGGTGGCCTTTTGGTTTATGAAGCCCATCTGTTGCATCTGGGCATTCTCTGGGGATCTGGGCGCTGCGGGGGGCAGAACAGACACCCGTCAGGCATTGGAGGTCATGGCATGGCAGTTTGAAGTCCCCTCCGTGTCTCACCTCCTTCTGTGACATTGACCAGGGTGGTTCTCCTCTCTCCGAGGGAGGTGTTGCTGCCTGGGTCACACAGCTCCAGCTGGAAGCTTTCTGGTAGGATGGGGCCGGGGTGCGCGGTGGGGTTGATCACGATGTTTTTCTCCGTCTCTCCGGGGCCAAACTTGAGAGGGCCGGAAAGCTCAAAGCGCTGAGCCTTCTTGGAGCGCCATTTGAGGGTGGCGGCGCTGTCCGGGTTGCGAGTGCGGACCACGGGGATGGTGTAGGCCGAGTCTGTGGTGGTGAAGTTTTGGGTGGCCTTCTTGAACATCACCACGCTCGGTTCTGGACGGAGGAGGAGGATAATGAAACATGGGCCCGACTTCAGCAGCACAGAACCCAAAACAGCCTCCGGGCTCACTCACCCGGCTGGTCCGTGATTGTGACCGTGGTTCTCGGGTAGCGGCCCAGCTTGGCTCCCTGCCGTGGGTTGCTGAGGTCCATGGCAAACTGTTTGGGCAGTTTGTCTTCCAACAGGCCGTCTTTCTCGCCCAGCTCCAGCAGGGGAACATTGACCGTTTTCTGAGTCTCACCAGGGCCGTAACTCAGGTCTCCCTCCACAGTCACATAGTCCTGAAACCCAGCAGGTCAGAACAGCATTAGTTTTGACACACGTCTGACCTTCCTCTGAGGGCTCATCTCTGGTGGTCCCATTTTGCTCCGGCGACACCAGCTGGCGTGCACACAAACGGCTCACCTTCTTGTCCTTGGCTGACAGATCCTGTGAGCGGTAGGAGACCTGCGTGCGCCCGTCCTCTATGATCTCTCTGCTGATTGGGATTTTGGCCACTCCATCTTGTCTGCTGTATGTGTAGCTTGGCTGGAGGAATGAGAAGATGCTGCTGGCTGGGGAGAGGAGGGCCACCATCATTTGCTGCTTCACATGAGTCAGATTACTCGGCCTCAAACAACCTGTGGAGCCTGCTCACCGCGCTCTTTGATGATGGTTATGTTGACCATCCGTTTTCCGATCTCCGCGATCCCCAGCGGCACGTCCCGGGCTTCCACCAACAGCTGCTTCTTGTCATCGTCCTCGTCTTTGACAAAGAGCGGCACGTGCACATCTAGGGACTCGACTCCCTCCTGGAACTCCACGGCACCGGCGGCCTCTGGGGGTTGTACACACGCAGTTTAATGAGAGAAGAGAAGATGGAGACCTGTCCCCAACAGACACCAAGCAATAGCACAGACCTCTGTCTGTGGCTACAGTGTAGTAGCCTGGCACTACTTTGAGGTTATGCAGGTTTCCAGACTGGACATTCTTCTCAGTGACTTTGAGTATGTCTGGATAACTGCAGCGAGGAGCAGGCAAGACTGTGTCCATGATGGTGTAGTCATTCCTAAGCGGCACAATAGGGAAGGAGAAACCTCAGGTATGCATGGAAGACAGACTCTCAGCTCCTTAACAAGGCTGTTAACTCTGATTCTGTATTTTATCTCTCTGAATGTTACCTTTTTCCTGCATTTCTTTGGGTTCTATTAAAAAAAAAAACACACACACACAAAATGTATCAAGTTGAGGCAAACCAGACGGTAAACCTACGATTTTGATGATGGGAACTTATAAGAGCATTTCATAAGATCTCTGCAGCCAGATGTGCTTACCTGAAGGACGTCTGCTGCACTTTCTGTGCCCCGGGAATTTGCTTGTACACCTCATTAAGCTGAACCGAAGGGCAAACCCAGTCAGTGTTTGTGCACACACTCACACGAAAACAAAAAAAACAACAACAAAAGCTGCACTCACGTTATCAGCGACTTCTTTGCGAAGCTGCTCAGTGTCTCTGGACTCTGGGTGGAAGTTATTCTCGGAGAACAGCCTGTTCAGTCGAACAGAGACCGGGAAGTTGACTGCGAATGATGAAGGAAGCACGAAGATCAGAATACAGAGGCCAAAACTTAGTCCTGGACTTGTTCTGGTTGTGCAGGGCACTCACTCATCTCCTTTGGGTTTGGTTTGATCAGAGCCTGGGGGTGGTTGGCTCCGCGGTGCACGTTGTCTGTGACCTTCCAGCGAACCACGTCTGTTCCTTTCAGTGGGCCGGTCCTCACCATCGGTGTGTCCAGGTGGTCCGAGGTCAGGCGAGACTGATGAAGCAAATACTCGTCTTCCTTAAAGCCGACCATGCGACCTGGAGAAAAAGAAACCATGAGGCTTTATCCATATGGTCTCTGGCAATAGGAAGAGTTTTTTTAAACAGTAAACAAAACGTCTTACCCTTATTCAAGCAAGGCAGCAGGGCGAGAAACCTCTGCGTAAAACAAAGACACAGGCCACAAATTTAACCTTGAATCAGAAACATCTGATCTTTAGAGTCCCGGGCGTGTGTGTTCGTACCTGCCAGCAGGCTGTGCAGCAGGCGCAGTACTTCCAGCAGCAGAGCAGCAGCAGGGCCAGCAGCAGCAGCAGGAACAGGAGCAGAGGCAGCAGCCACAGCAGGCTGGCAGGAGGACAGTCTGACGGGGCCAGGAACCACAACCGTCACACATCACACTGCCGAGGCCTCACCAGCCTCATTGTCTTGGCTTAAAGACTTTATATAGAACTGTGCGCCTCCTCACGAATATAAGGATTATATGTGTTCATAATTCATATATGTACATCATACCTCTCACTATATTCCCGGTTGAACTCCCTTTATTGAAAACAACTTGGTTACACCTCTTAAACCTTCTATGATTTTTTCAAATTCAACGTTGCATAAACACCAGCTGGCATGAAAAAAAAAGCCCTAAAGAATCTATGTTTACCAGTTCATTTATTGGGAGTGTGTCATTGTAGCTCCTTTTTCTAACTCAGTTTTGCCCACATCAGGAGTATGATCAGAACTTTTTATAGACTATATAATGCTAATATTTATCAGATATTTTTTTATACAGAGAAATCTATAAGAAACAGATATTTTTGAGCTTTCAAACATGTGTTTTCCCTTAGAATCAACTTTAAATGTTAGTATTATCTTTTTAAATGAAGCAATTCAAACTTAAATTTGCTTAAGTGAGAAGCTCACCTCTCTCTTTGAGCATCTCAACCATCAGCTCTTTACTGTTTGGATCTTTGTTGGTTTCAACTGTGTATTGGTATGTGCAGTCGTTCTCCTCATCGCGGAAGGAGCACAGATCAAGCACCTTCTCTCCTGGAACACAAACATAGGCCCCCACATGTAACACCCACTGGTGTGTATGTATTTTAGGCTACAGGGTTAAACTACGGCCGGTGTGGAGCCCGTTTTTGCTCCCGCTCTCGGTGCTTACGTTCTTTCAGTTCGTCCACCATAACAACCTTGAAGACGCAGCTGTCGCACGCATCTTTCTTCTCCCCCGTCTTCCAGGCCTGGCACTGGGCGCAGGCTCTTGTCACCTCACACACACTGAATTGGTACTGCGAGAGAAAGGAAATAGTTCAAGAGAGCGAGAGCCAAGGCTAAACAGTTGCATTACAGCAGTGGCTCCCAACCCCAGGGCCGTGGACCGGTACCGGGCCTTGGATTAGCTGGCACCAGAATTCATTCAATTGTTTCCGTTGTATCTATTCTCCAAGTCTGAATAATATCTTATTTTTTTAAATATTATATTTTTAAAAATTTCCGGATTCTCTTGGTTACATCTCAGTCACTTGAGCGTCCAAAATTTAACCCACAACTTTGCAAAATGAGTAAAAACAGGTATCTTTGGAAAGTTTCCTTTCGAAGAGGAAAAGGCCCAAAGAAGAGAAAGAGGAAAAGCCGACAACTCCGAAGAAAACGAAAGCTTTTAACAGACAATACCAGGAGCTCTACTTGTAATATGGATCTATATGGACAGACCAAAGCCGCTTTGCGTAATTTATATATAATTTATAAAATACGCAGCGAGGTGACGAAGCTTCGCCACTTGGAGACCCAGCATCCGGGATAAACAGATGAGCCCCCGGAGGATTTAGAAAGAAAACATAAAGTTGCATAAGAGTACACAGTGGATTCATGTCCATTATCATATTCGCAATATAAACAACCCCCCCCACCCCCTTGTCCGCAGTGATAAAAAGGTTGGAGACCACTGCATTACGCAATGGGAGCCAGTGAATCTGACCGCACATTTACCTGGAAGTTTGGCTCGCAGGTTGCCGTCAGCTCTATATCAGACTGTTGACACTGGCAGCGGCCACACACACACTTCCCCAGCCCGTTGCAGACAGTCTGGAGCATATTAGACAGAAGAAATCAGACATCGACAGCTCAAACCACGATATGAGGGACACGCTTCTTTGAAAACGATTGCCCCCCCCTTACCCCTTTGTTGTCCAGGCAGGTCTGATTGCTCTTAGGACACTGGCAGGCGTCGCCCTCCCAGCCGTCTGTACACGCACACTGCCCCATGACACAAGACCCCCGTTCTGAGGACGGACAGGAAAGAGGTTTAGTTTTCTTATTTTACTTTTGGTCGAGTCCTTGTTTTGTGCAGAGGCTGCCACATGAAGACGTGCATCAAGAGATCTCTCCAGCAAACTTTTAAAGTTGCAATAAATATACTTTCAGATGCATCTTTGGGGGATGTATGGGGTTAACAGCTAGTTCATTGCTGTGATTGTGGATGTGTGCCTAAGCATGCCTGATGCAGTTTAAAGAAGTTTACCACTCGTGTTGTTGTTTGATGGAAGGGTGTTAACTCCGGCTGTGTTTTAATTATAAGACACACATGAAACGTGGCCCAAGGAGCCAGGTCCTAACAGTAATGGAGGTTTTGAGATCGCATGTTTTCCTCATGAATTCAGTGAGTTTGGTCGTACCGTTGCAGAGGAAGCCGGAGTGCCTTTTACACTGGGTTTTGTCATACTGACAGTAGGGCCCTTCAAACTGATCTGGACGATGGCACACGCAGGTTCCACATGCCAGACAGTCCCCGCGGCCCGAACAGGGCTCCTTCGACCCGGGCATGACGCACTGGCTGGTGTCCAGAGCCGAGGCGCTCGCCGAGCAGTTGCAGAAGTTCCCCAGCCTGAAAAAAAGATCAGACACAACAGAGAAATAAGGAAGTCTTTATTGAATGAATACAACTCAAACCATCCATAACCAGTTAAACCCTCACCAGCCGTCAGAGCATTGGCACTTCCCACACACCAAGTCCCCGTTTTTATGGCATATGTCTGCTTTAGGGAGGGGGGTCTGAAACAGAGATAGAGATGGAGAGATAGAGTTAGAGATTAAGAAAAAGGTCTATGAGTATCTTCAATGTGGAATTTCTTGCTGTTCTGTGTGTGTCTGACCTGCTCACAGTCACAGGTCGGACATAAAATGGAGGCCTTCACGTTGGCGGCAGCATTGAAGGTGGTAGGTTTGACCCTCATTACGCCCTCTCTGTCAGCTTCATTCATCCCACAGACAAGCTCTTTGTTGATGCTTCGGTGCGCTTTGAGCCGCATCTGGAATTTACCCTGCACACGCACACACGCAAAATCAGTCCGGTGGACAATAAATCCCCAGAAACGACTCAATGTTGAAACAAAAAGAGTCCTATTCCTCACGATGAATCATTACTTTTACATAGATCTAAATAATGGAGGTATACTTTTTCACAGAGCTAGATAAAGCCAAAGTTCCCATTGAACCAGTGCATCAAATTAATTGTCTTAGCTTGGACTTTGTTCTTGTTGTTGGCCGCTTTGTCATGCATCGCCTTGTTAAAGGGCTTTAAAACGGCCTCCCTCCCTTTTTTGTTGCGTTTTAACCTGTTTTTGGTTTGGAGACACTATGATTAGTCTGTTTCTTTGACTGTGAATCACAGTTGGAGCAGCATAAAGTTAGGTGAACCAAAGAATCAATCATTTAATTTCAATTGTTTTTGGGCAACAAAATAAAAAAGGGAGAAAAAACATTTGTAAGCCTCTGTAAACACTAACTCTGCTGCTTTGACTGTATAACAAGGGTTGGAGTGTAAAAGACATGCTTGAAGCTGCCTTTTAGACGCATGCTTAAGTCTGTACTTCTCTCCCCTTCCTATCTTTTCTGGCATTTATGGATTGTTTTGCCACCTACAATATTTCCAGGCTTGACATCAAAGGCGCCGTACTCTGCAACTTGTCCGCCACTGGTCAAGAACTGAACCTGAAAAGCCTTTGGCCGGTCCTCTGCTCGGATGCTCATCTTCGAGCGGATATTCTGGAAGCACACGCAAAAAGATCAGCACACAGACTTTTCCCTGCACTGCTTGGCTGAAATGAGACCAAAATAAAGAACCTGCGACTCACGTTGAAGGCAGTCTCCATGATCTGTAGGATGTTGGCTGAGTCGGCCTCCAGAACACCAACCTCAGCAATTGGAAAATACCTTTGGAGTTTCTGCACAAAACACATGTATAAAAGGGACCAGAATTAGAAAAAAATGCCATCAATTATGTGATTAAGATCAACAGAAGCTGAGCCTCAACAACCCCCTTACCTCATAGTAAGAGTAGGAATGGTTTGTGACAGCGAAGATGGGGATGATGTTGTGTTTCCCGAGCAGACGGACCAGCGTGGGTATCGAAGGGTAGTCCTGCTTCGTGGCCTCTGTGTATTTGCCCTGTGAGTCCAGGTGGCAGAGCTCGTCATTGCGGGGCAGAATACCGGACAGCACATTGGCGCCATCGGCCTCGTAGTGGAAGGCCGACTCAGTGGAGAAAACCAGGAGATGTGTGCTGTGCTTCCGCCAACCTATCTGATCCTAGAAGACATTAGTCAGATTAAATGGTGAGTGGAGGGTACAGTTGTTTGTGCGTGAGCAAGAAACTGACTGTGCGGTGCAAGCTTATCCACCCCCCTCCCTTACACACGGCAGCTTGCTTTGGCATGAAGTTAATATGTGAGAATGTACACAACTCACCCACTAAGCCAACTCAGGGTACATTGAGAAAGAAAATACGCATAGTTTACAAGTACATTTGCACACAGAGAGGGTTTTGCACACACTGGCTGGATGAACCGTGTGCGTTCATTCAGTTTGGGGCTATTTTAGAACTATGAGTCCTGTCTTACACATGTCACTTGGCTGAATAGAAGCTGATTCATTCCAGTGGCTTTAAATACTTGATGGCAGGGACAAAAGGGGCCAACATGCAGAAATCAGAGCCAGCTTTACTTTTGTGATTAAAATCCAGAAACGTTCACATGTAAATGGAAGGGAATTTTATAATATCAGTACCGGTAATGTTTGTTAATCGACAAAATACTGTGAACCCAACTGGTGACAGCAAAAGAACAGATAAAAAAGGACTTCAAAAATCGTTTCTTTTCATGTGAATCTAATTTTTCCTTTGACATTTAACTGAGGATCAGAAGGCAAGTGAAATGTTTGCTCTTCCAGGGGACCTACAGTTTAAACCCAAATTTCCAATAGAGCAGTTAGTGTTTAGCTTTCACTAACCCTACACACGGCAGCCTGTAAAATGGCGTCGAACCCTCCTTCGGGCGGGTCCAGGTTGCCAGATATATTCTCCTTGCTGAGCTTGGTGGTGAAGAAGTTCAAATCATTTGTCAGCTTGATGACATTTTGAAAAGAGAAGGGAGGGTCACTGTCTGGCCACGGCTTCTGAAGTCTGAAGAAGAGGAAAGACAAGAGAGGCTATGAACAAAAAGCACCTTCCTCATCTGTGCAGGTTTCATTCATATTCTCTCTCCTACTTTTCGGGTCTCATGTCAGTCTGGGGCTCGATCACTTTGTCCACAAATTTTCCAAATCCGATGGTGTAGTCATCTGAGAGCGTTCCCACTACGGCAGCTGCAGGAAGAAGAGGGAACCAATCAGCTGCTGGTGTTCCTGATCTCTCGTCAGGTACAGTAACAGTAACAGTAAGAGTGAATGCATGAGTGAGTGTGCTCACCCAGCTTGTTGCCCAGGCTCTTCAAGCTGTCCAGATCGTCAGCCATGGAGTTTGAGAAGTCCATCAGAATGTAAAGATCCAGAGGACCTTTGACTGGAGCGAACACGCTGACATCCAGCAGCTTCTCCTCTCCGGGCAGGAAGGTCATGGTCACGTCCTGCGGGGACACCTGCGACTGCTGGATCCTGGTGTCGATGGCCTGGTTCTGCCCCGAGGAGAAGGAGGAAGAGGGGGGTCAGACTAGCGCGGAAAATACGAAGAGTCCCCAGAGGTCTGCGAGCCGGGAGGACTTACTCTGTCTATGGACATGCTGCTTTTGGCTGTGATGATGGTGGCAGCCCTGCAGCCGTGTGCCAGGATGTTAGCATACAGGTCACACCGAGGGCCCTTAAAGGTCTGAGCGAGAGGGGAGCTCATCAGTAAAGAAGTGGGGCAGGAAAGAAACTACTATCATTCTGAACACCTCGTTGTGCATTTGACAGAGAAATCATGCGCAATCCAGGACTGAAAAGGCTAAATAAGGCCGTAATAGGGAGGGCTCGCTGTAGTCCTCAGCTCTCACCTCGTCGGGGCAGTAGGCGCAGCCTGCGCCAGCCTGCAGACACTCCGAACAGGTCTTGGACCGTGAAGCGAAGCAGTAGTTCTCTGTCGGCGGAAGGGAAGAGTGTGGGGAAGAGTCCCAGTCATAGAAAGGCAGTAAAGAGAGGATTAGAACCGTGAGGCATAGCTGGAATAGCTGTGGTGACACCAGGCATGTTTTGGCCCAACGTGCTGCTTTTCTCCTGACGGAGTTTGGAATAAAACAACAGCTGCAAAATGCAGCATACTCTCTCAGTAAGTGGGCTGTGAACCGTTGTGTAAGTTAAGCAAAGATTTTTCTGAAATGTGAATATGTAAATCAGGTCAATGGCATCAGAAATGGAATTAAAAATCCTCGTAACGATTAGAGAGAGACAGAATGAGAGTCGCTGGTGCATGTGAACCTGATGATGCTTCCTACCTTCAGCATAGCAGAAGTTCAGCAGGACAGCCAGAAGGCCGAGGCCCGCCGAGAGTTTTAGCGTCCATCTCCTCATCTCCTTCCTGACAAAGCACAGACAAGAGCAGAGAGGGTCAGAGAGCGTCGCATCCCAGCCAACCAGCACCGTCCTGCTGCAGCTCCAGACAGGAGTAAACCTGTCTTAGCTCGGAATAACCATTTTAACTGACTTCTCAGAAGGCTTTCAACCTCTTGACTCAAGTTCTTTTCTGAATAGGGTTTTTCATTTTGGAAGCACCTCAGTGTCTGTAGTATTGAAAGACGGTCCTTCCACGCAGATGTGTTTGCTACTCAAGTTTTCAGATATGTGCACCTGGATTCAGTTGAATTTCCATCCAAACCGCAGCTGACTGTTCGCTTTTTCTGGAAGGGACACGCCTTTTCTGAGCTCCTCCAGTTTTGCAAAACACCGAGAATCAACTGCAACATCGTTGTTGGCCCGATTAATCCTGAGTGATTTATGGGGCCACATTTAAGCTGCATTGGCCGCCACTCACAAGAATGAGTGGTGAAAAGATTTATCTGAAATGTTTAAATACAATCCAAAGAAACAGCACAAAGACAGAACACTTCATTGTGATTGAGGTGAAATGACTGGAAGTAATGTTTTTTCTTCTTGTCAAGTGATCCAAACAGTCCCTTCACACATGAACACCTCCCATGCAGCTTTAAATTAACTATAATTTTACGGCCAGTTTAGGCATGACGTGTCCACGCTTTGAAAATTTAGACTGGAATCCTACAAGGAGAACTATCTGATAAATAAAAGGAAGAAAAAAATCTCCAAAAGGGCACGCAGGAGGTGGGGAGTGAACAAAGGCCTCTGTGTGGCATGAAACGTCTGCTATTCACTGGAAGAGACAGATGATTTGGGCCCTGAAGATTTACAGCCCCAAGGAGGAATTTCTCCCTCGGGCGAGAGAATGACTGGTCCAAGTTAAAAACATAGCCTAGAAACACATGGGAGAGGTTCCTTAGTGCCTCTCTGTGAAGCCAAACGGAGCACAGGTGTGCCAGAAAATGGCAGAACTGGCATAAATCACCGATCAGAGCGGGTCCGAGCGGAAAACAAACCCCAGACCAGCAACGACAACAGTCCACCACGTTTAAGCAGGAGTCACTGAGGACAGCCAGAGGAGAGCCCTTTGTATTTTAGAGCTTCTCAGAGGAAATCACAGGCACGCAGGTGATTACAGCCTCAGGCTGCTTTTCTTTTTCCTGCTTGTCTCTAGTTTGGAGTGGCAGATGCCTCACCGCAGACAACAAGATGCCTGCCAGGTGAGCATACCACCACAGGGCGTGTGTCGGACCCCAGGTGACGTCAGCAGTGCTGGTGGGGGTGGGATGGGGGCCTCTTTTGTAACAGCCTTGGCCCTCAAGCCTCACGAGTAACGATAAAAACGCCACAAAACCTCCTTAGAAAAACACGGAACACTAACTTGGAGTGCAGGTTCACACATTTAGCTTCAGGTGAGAGTGTGAGCTGTGCTCGTATAAACATTTGATCCAGTTTATCTAATCTGTGAGGCAATAAAACCTGTGCGCACATGGAGAAATCATGGATACACAAAAGCAAGATGAACTCCAAAAAAAATAGACAGAAACTAATCTAAAGCCACAACTGTCATAAAAGTCTGATACAAAGTTAACAGAAGGTTGCGTAACACTCACTTTATAGACGTTCACCCTGCCCTGAAGTTACACAGATATGAGGGGGACTGACAAGCACCGGCTTTGCACAGCTCGGCAGAAAAGTAAAGAGCATTGAAAAACAATGGTCCCTTTAGGACATTTATTGCTGGAAACAAAGAGATTACTGATCAGACAAACCTCTTAGTGTGGTCTCGCCCAGTTCAAGTCCAAAAGTCCAACGATAAATAAGAAAAAAAAGCTATTTCCTCCTTTTGCTTGGTATCCACCTGTGATTTTTTTTTAAATGAGAGCAAAAACAAACAAACAAAAAACTGAAACTTGCCTTCGTCCTTGTGTCCAAGTTCAAAATCCCCCCTCCTCAAAAATAGATTTAAAAAAAAAACTTTTGCCCTCCAGTCAAGTGCGCTCCGGTCAAATATTGACCAATTTGTCCCTAAAGTCAAGTGAGTGTGTGTGTGTGTGAGAGCGTGCGCAGAGCTGCTCAGCGTGTGCAGTGGAGGAATACGAGACAGAGTGAGACTCGCAGCAAGTGGGCGAATATGAGCAGAGATTTGATCCCTCCTTCAGCTTCTGCGCATGCATGCGTCCTTACACGCCCACACACACACACCCACACACACACACGCTCTGTCCAGGTGAGTTGCATTGATGGAGAAAGTTAACTCCCTTCCGGCCCCTCCATCTTTTCCCACCCCTGTGAGCTCCTAAAGAGCTCCACACCTCTGTGTGTCTGGCCCCCGCCCTGCAGCATTCCTCCCGACAGGAGCTCACCTGTGTGGGCTTGAGACTGGGCAGTCAGGCCCCTCCTCTGGTGGCCTCCTCCCAGGCTGCTGGGAGTGGTGCAGAGAGCAGAACGCTGCCTGCAGGCTATGGGAAACTGCTCTTGTGTGTTTACTCAGCCATGTTCTCAGATTTCCAGGTACATTTTCTGCTTGGCAAATATCTCCCCTCAGATTGGTTCCCCTCCCAGTGCGCACTCCTACATGTTTCACCTCATCGAGCAGACAGCAGAGGGTGGGGTCTCTGTAGCAGGAGGCTATCTGCATTCCTCTACAGACGGGAACCACGTGGCAGAATGGCCGTGACACCAGATCCTAATGCTCCCTGTTGGATTGTGCCTCTAAAGCCTGGTACAAAGCGGCCCGAACAGTAGAGTGTGTGCCGAGGATTCAGCCGGTGTTGAGAGGATCTTAAGCTGTCACCAGTCAGAGCAGCCGCATCAGCGTGACCTCTCCATCTCTTTCAAGGCTTGAGCTTAAAGCCCACTTCAGTTTTAAGACTGTCTAACAAGCAGAGTTATCTCCTGATTGAGTCAAAGGTCCTGTTCGTCATTTCTATTTCAAACTGCAACACAAAGCCTGCTTATAGCACCTGTTTGTGTCCAATGTAAGAAGTTAAATCTCACTTAAACAGATCATTTACAAGAACAGTGAAACTGATTCTGATCAGCATCTAGGTTCAAATGACTGGAACATCTTTAGCTAAAGACTTAAGAGTTATCCCACAAAGTCAAATGGTTTGACAGTTCTATGCTGGTGCCCTATTAAGTTAACAGGATACAAAATAGCACAAAACAAAGACAGTTTTTACTCTTGGTGATCAGTTTTGCTTTTACAGATTTCAGGAGTCTGAAAAATAATTTGAAATCCTCCAACGCCTTTATTTTCAGGGCGCGGATGCTCCTTTTATACCCAATTATGCCACCCTTACCCCTCCCCAATTAACCTACTGGTTACAGAATCTTCCAGAATATCGTCAGGTATACGTTACATCACCTTTTTTTCCACAAACTTCATCTAAGTGCATCACTGATATCAAGATCTAAACTTGTGAAAATTGTCTCAACACAATGAGCTGACTGCTGAAGACTGACAAAGATTTTTTGATGATAAAACAAAAGTTCAAACAGCTGAATAAATGACAGGGTTATGATTTGTTGCGTCTTAGAAAATCGTCCAGCTGTTTCCAAATTTTTACTCAGTACCCCAACACTGTAGTACCTCCTCTCCCTGACCATCACAGTGTGGTGTGTGATGGATGCACTGCTAGAGGGGTTTTCAAATGGAGAATTTGAGATTTATTAGAATCATTTTTATTTATTAGAATTAGAATTATTAGAATTCCCTTCCCAACACGTCGATTTCCCCCTCATTGAAAATGCATTTCTTTGCTCTTTTCTCCATGGTTGCCATTGGTAACCATGAAATAACATTGATCAGCTGGCTCATTTAAATATACATTAACAGTAACCAGTAGACCATTTATGGCTGAAGGGGGATGTAGAGGGAGGAACATGAAATGTTGAGCTGCAGCTGTGATTTATAAAAAATCACAGCTGCAGCTTTATGCATGCTTTTTATAAATATGATTTTTTTTTTGCATATGGCATTTTCAGCTTTTGGGCCAAATTTTACTTGTAGTGCAGAATCTCCACAATGTTTCATGCATGAGATCCCAGAACTGTTCAGTTTTCAACATATCAACACAGCTCCAACGGCTTCAAACTTTCATCATCAGGTTTGTTGAGCTGGTATAGAATAACCCTTTTCTTCAACCTCTGTAACTCAAATTAAGAGTACGTGTGCCAAGTCCAAGTATCAGCTATCAGCTTTCACATAAAGTCAGGTTTTGAAACCACCACAATTCAAGCAAACTTTGATCTTTCCATTTCCATAAAGTCCATTTTCTTGGTTGGACAGCAGTCACAAGAAAGGCTCAGATAAGTTGTGTTTAGAGTATTTCCAGAAAGTGTAGCCGATCATTTTTATTCCTTTCATTGACACAATCCAGTTTGTTATTGGACAGCACCTTCCTTCAGTAGCTGGGAAAATCTGTGCCACACATTAGGTGTTGGTGGTTACTCACCATCACTCACCATCACTCACCATCCTCACCACTGTAAAGCAACTGGATCAACACTGACTCAGTCCAGAGACTATCCCGGGCCTGAGGCGTTTTATGGCCCTCTCCTCCTCACTGTGCGTGCCACTCTGGGCAGCCATAGCAACCAGATCTGGTTGGACATAATGGAGGGGGAACAAAACGTCTTCAGATGCAGCTTCTCCCTCCTGTACCAGGATCTTCTAAACAGCCCTTTGACAACTTTTTTTTCTTATTTTAACACGGGCTCTGTGTAAAGAAATGCAAAGTTTACCCATATTGATCCATTTCCATAGCTATATTTGGGCTATATTATATATAATAATGATGATGATTTGAATGAGAATCTAACTGATTTATGCCAATACTTCTCAAAGCCTGCACAGAGACCTGCTTAATACCAACAAGTAACAACATATTTAAATAAATCAACAAAATGATTGTGTGGCTCATTAGAGTCTTTGTTCTGTCCATAATCAGGTGTCTAATTCATGGGGAACAAACTGACTGAAGCTGGTCCTTACCGTGTGCTGGAGGCTGAGCTGGAGCCGGCAGGTCCGGGGACGGAGCCTCTGTCCCGGCTGCCTGTTGAACACCACAAACCCCCCCAAATTAAAGGTGTTACAGCATGGCTGTTTTCTCTGGTTCTGTTGAAGCTATAAGAGCCTAAGTCCAGTAGGAAAGCCCCCCCAACACAGTCTGGGTTCAGCCCAGTCCCACTCTTCGCCTATTTACATGACAAAAACGTCTCTTTTTGGATCACTGAGTTCTTTCCCCCCCTAATGATGGCGTTCCCACTCCCCCCGGCCCCTCAAATCTACAGGAGTACCAAACGACGACACTTCAAGATAGAGAACAACTTCTCCGCTTTACAATATGTCGGCTTTTTTTTTTTTTTAAGTTTGAATTTTTCAAACTACGGAAACTACATAAATATATGACAGAAAGAGAACAGCTAACGCTCATTGTTAATTTAATTTTAACCATGAGAAAAAAATAAAGTGACATTAAAATGTCTTACTGGGATAACAGATAGAAATATGTACATTTCCCTTCTACGTTGACCCGCCAGGCTCATTTTAACCGGCTTTTCTCAAACCCTGAGGCGGTAAAAGTCTTTATTGTCGCATAAACAGTCGTAAACTGTGACGCGTGGACCCGTGCTGGGTGTGGCTCACGTGGCGCCGCTCGCGCAACTCCGCGCACCTTCACGAGAGTCTCGTTAGGATGATGAATGCAGCTGGCAGCTGTCAGGACGCTGACCGAGAATACACTCTCCTCTTTCTTTTCTTTTTTAATGATTTCAAATATGCTGTGGTGACGAAATAACAGTTTTCTTAGGGTCCATTTAATTAGTTCTCTAACAAGGACATATTGTCTGACGCTTTGTTAATAAAGTTTTTTAAGAAGCCCTCAGGTGATCTGGCTATTTGTTTTCTTTTGCCTGCTCTCTCAACAGACTTTACGTTGTCACACAATAATATCTTTATATCGCAGACCGATGTCAAAATAAAACTTACTGACGCCCCTAAAGGCTGACCTTCCACAGTCGGTTTTACAGCCCGGGGGGGCACTTATTCTGTGATGAGCTCTGCTGGCTGTGGTGTGAACCCCACCTGAGCGGAACATGCCAGGATGGTGTCTAACAGCAACACAGCTTAGTGAGTCTTACATTCCAGGCTGTGCAAAAACATGTTGAGATGCACTCAGAGGACAAACGTTTGCTCATTCATGAGGATTAATTCAGGAAAGACAGCAGGCTGGATTTAACCGGGTGACAAATGTGACCCAGGTTTATAAATAATGACTGGTCAGATCTGTCTGAGCATCTTGGACACATTGGACAGACAAAAACACAGGGCCAATTGAAAAGGCAACATCTGATCAATTTATTCACCTTATCAACAAATATGTACAAGTTAAAAAAGTCTTTCCTCAACATGGTTCACTATGTCATAAAGGGAGAAAAAGAATTCTGGAAAACATGTGCACATGTAGAGCTATTACAAATAAAAGCCAGAGGAAGCAGGACAACAGTGTACCAGAAGTTTGGATATAAAAATAAACAGCTTTTCAGACAATAGATGTGTTTGTGGACTCATTTCCATCTTTGTTTTAAATGAGGAGGTGTTTTACACATCCTGAAAAAAACAGATTTTGTTTTAAAGATGGCCAAAAAGTGGTGCAGATGCATTCCCAGAGCCAGGAGGAGGCTCAGTCTTTCACTGAGTCCGTGTGTGGAACACTCAGCCCATTCCTCCCTTTCTCTGATGGAGCGACGTGCAGGTCCTCTGATTCTTCTTCTTCCTCACTGCTTGGCTTTCTTTAGGATGGTGCCCACTGCGGAGATGACCGTCGTTTTGGTGCCGCTAGCTGTGGTCGTCACGGAGACCACGGCTGGAAGGGTGCCCGAGGTGGTGATGAGAGTGGGCTGGGCCACTGTTACAGGGATGGCCGAGTCCCACTTGCTCTTCCTCTTCTGGGCATCTGCTGGGAAAGAGGCATTGCTGGTTTTCTCAATGCGACTACGTCAAATACAGGAGCAAAAAGAAGGAAAAAAGGCACAAAACAAAACAAAAGTAAGCTGGTACACGCTGGAGCAACAGGCTCTGATTTCTGTTTTTTCTGCGAGCTGGTCCCTGTTTTGCACCAGTAAAATAAACTGGAGCCATGTCTAACCTGCCATAAACATGAGAAATCATCATAAACAAACTTTGTTTTTTAATTTATGTTTGCTTTCATGGCCTGTAACCAAAAAAAAGCCAAACAGGAGCATGAATCATAAAAACAGAAAGGAAGACAGACAGAAAGAAAGAAAGAAAGAAAGAAAGAAAGAAAGAAAGAAAGAAAGAAAGAAAGAAAGAAATACCCCTGGTTTACCTGTGGCTGTGGTGGAGGTGGTGGAGCTGGTGGTGGAGGGGGCCGTGCTGGAGGGGTTGGTGCCTTTCTTAGTTCCTGTGACAAACTCAATCTGAGGAGCAGGAAAAAAGACAAACGTCATTTTAAAAGTCGAGCATCCAGAGGCAGTCTGTCACATTCTCATGAATTCACTCTAAACCGGCCCAGTTCATTCTGGGCCGATCAAAGCAACGCTACGTTGCCGTGGAAACCAGCAGATTGCAACAAAGCATCTCTTTTTATCTAATCCTCCATCCTAAAAATGCACAAGGTGACTGTGGAGAGAAAAAAACAGCCTTTTAACAGGCAGAAACCTACATTAGAACCAGAACCACGGGGGGCGTCCATCTGGGAGAGAAAGAAAGCTCCTTTACAGCAGACAAACCTGCATGATGGCAGCATCAAACATCACCCCTCACCTTCAGTTTCAGCCTTTACATATCTGCCTCTCTCCCACTAGTTCTCTTGCACCGAGCAGGTTTGTCTGAACATGAAAACCCGGGGCGGGCGGTACTCAGCCCTCTAAACGAGCTGCCATGTGTCTGAACTGCAGTTAGGGAAGCTGAACTTGGCATACGTGCCCCCAACCCCGTCTTTGTCCTCATCTTCACCTTTGTCCGCTCCTTCTTGGCCTTCTCCAGCTTGTCCATCTCCACCTTCTGGGCTTTGGCTGGAAGGAAAAGGCAGAATGGTGAGAGCTGAAGGGTGACCAAAACCGAGGGGAGGACGCTGGAATTAAAGGGCCGTACCGAGAGCCTCATAGTAGGAGTCCTCTGACCAGCCGTGGGGGTCGAACATATCTTTTGGGTAGTTGGTTCCCAGCTCGTCTATATCACAGAACTGAATGAGCTTCTCGTAAATGCTGAAAAAAAAGGATTAATAAAGTTTGATCAGAATGTTTGAAGTTGTTTGTGCTTTAGCGTTCTGAGACAAGCTTTTATTTGGCCTGGATTATTGTTTAACCAAGATTAGATAAACTCTGTTGTAGTTTTTCCTGATATGGGTCAGAAGGTTTACCTTTGTTTTAAAAGTGTGTATGTACATTTTTGAAGTTTTGGTTTCCAAATAAAAACAAAATTTGAATGACACATTAAAGACATGATTGGTTGAAAACGTCTAAACCATTTTATTTTAGATTTCAAACATTAGTGTCTAATAGTGTCTATTATGAGGCCAATGGGTCAAAGCTGGAAGTAAATCCAGTATCATGGTAAAGAGGCCTAAAAGTCCTCTGATGAGGATGCAGGGTCTCAGGAGTGCCATGTAAAGAGCTGTGTGTTTATTTAAGTGGGTTTCCTGCTTTGCCTATGCTCACCAGGTTTGCTGCATACCTTGGGTTTCTAAATTCTTTCTTTTTCTGGATGTGGCTGTTTGTGTCAAAATCTCCATGGAGCTTCCTCTCATACAGTTTGTGGATCTTTTCCTGTCAAGAAAACAATAAATCAGTGGAGAAAAAAGCAAGGTGAACGTTCTCAAAGACATGAAAGTTGGCCCTTTGGACAGGCTCGGACAAGGGAAGGGCCAGCGTGGACGGGGCATGTCCGATGCCTCTGAGGAGCCTTTGACGACCAGGTTCTACTCACAGGAAGGGCCACGGGAAAACTCCTTAAAAAGGACAAATCCTGCCTGCTCTCTTTTTACACAATATACAGCCATTTCCTGCTGGCGT